CACCAAAGGGGGTCGGGTGAACTTTTAAGAGCAGCTTTAAATCTAACGCACAGATTATCAAGCATGATAATCTCCATGGCTACAAAAGGGTATAAACTCCACCTGCCCTGAAACACTCCCTGCCCTGCGCCGTTCCTTGGCCTGCCAAACAGGCTTCATGGTAATTAGTGTCTATCAAGGTCTGGGGCTTTGCTGGAGATGACAGTGGCATGGTTTATCAGCCAGAAACAGTGTGATCAAAGGGGCAGCACACTCTGCCTTTCTGCTAATCAGATGTGGACTCCTGCTTAGCACCACAGAGAAGGCGGCAAAAAACAATTCAGCATGAACATGTCCTCCCAACACAGACTCCCACTCAACGCCTCATCGGCAGCCTCTTTCATAAACGTTTGGGAAACATGCAGCAGAAAAACAGCTACATAAACTCCTCGTAATGAGCAGGCTGGGTCATATTAAGGTGCACCGTTCCAGCATAAGACCAAAACGAGACGAGCAGGAATCATAAACAGAGACCGCCTCGGCCCTTCCAACAGAATCTACGCTGAGCGGCTCATTTCACGCCTCAGATTCTGCCTCCTCCTGCCGGCAGACGTCAGGAGCTTTCACACGTTTCTGGCTGGCTTCATCCGCCAGCGTCCTCCTTCCTGACTGCGTCACCTCTGCTCTGACATCACCATGCGACATCAGGCAAGACCTCAGAGGGGGGATTCCTGTAGCCGGGCAAAACATTGCATGACTTTCAAAGGCTACGCTAACCCCGTGGCAGAAACACTCATAATCCTGATGTGCCGCTCAGCCCTGGAAGGGAAGGGAGAGAGCAGTTTGCTGCTGCAGATGAAGGAAAACATGCAGGGTTATCATGAAGGAACGTATCAGGCTAATAGGAGTGTTAGTAAAAACTGAACCCATGTGATTCCTTTCATAGCTGTACAGGGCCCCCTCTACTTTTGCTGACCAGGCCTTTTTCCTCTCACTGCTGGAAGGAATTAATGAGCTGCTTCCCCTCCTAATACGCTCCCCATGCCAGCAGGCTCCACACCCAACTTCCTCTGGGCAACTCACAAGATCCCCCTTCTAAGAAGTCTGCAAAATACCATCCCCAGAAAATAGCACAGGTGCCCCCTCTCTACTCACCCGTATGCTTTAATTGCAATTTAATATTCGAGAATTCAACCCAGGGGCGCTGATGTGGCCTGCATTTCTGCAGCATTTAACTGCTCAGCTTTTATAGTGCGGAAATACGCTCCGGAGATCAGAAAATGTCTGTGCTGACATTTACTAACGGCTTCTGATGTTGGCTCACTGGGCTGTGAAAGTTCCAGTGAGCAGGAATGGATTGCTTCTGGTTATTAATAGTAATAATTCCTGTTGTAAATACAAACAGAAAACAACAACCTGGAAGAAAGTGCCGCTTTTATGAGAACTATATTGGTGAAGTTTCTAACAGGCTTGCCTCTAGGGGTCCTCAAGGTTCGAAAAACACCTTTCACTTTAAAATGTTCAGACCTTTTCTCAAACTTCCAGATGCAACAGTCAACCAATATGGAGGGAATTTTAATCTATTATTGTTGCAAGCAAAGAATGCGATTTGTAAATGAAAATTTGGAAAGAGAAATCTGAAAATGAAACTTTGGGAAACTCCATTTAAAAAAAAGAAAGATCTTAAGATGTTGTCATTTACTTGGATTTATATTTTTAAAGTTCTTCTAAAATTCATTTATTTTTCTGATGTAGAAAATTCGAATTTCTGTTTTTAGATGGATTTTTTTTCGAATGTCATCCTTTTCAGTTCCACAGATGAAATTGTCCTCAACTCAAGCCCAATACAAACATGCTGTCAGGTTTATTCAATGACGATTATAAAGTTAATGTGTGTACATATAGAACATTGAAGAAATTAAATGCTTCACTCTGTTTACTGCAAACTGTCATGCAACAGTGGTAGAAAATTGCTAATGTTTGTGCATGGATAATCACTCTATTCTGTGATTCAATCAGAAGGAGCATTTTGTTCTATGACCTTATCAATTGCCTTGTCAGAAGAACTCTATTTTGTAACCCGCCCCATGTGTTATGATCTGCTAATAAAAAGGCTTCTGTTGAGGAAACCCACCAGAGAGCAGATGTGGCTGAACGTGGATCTCTCCTTCTGCAGAAGCCAAAAATCCCTATTCTGTGCGTACTCAGTTTCTCTTTTATGAACCTACATTTTTTAACATAACACATGCTCTCTGGAATATGTTTTGCTGACATCTATGCAGACCAATAGAGCAAAGCCAACCCCCACCACCACACCATGTCCACCACCCAGAGAGGAGAAGAGATAATCATCAGGTAAACACAATTAAAAAAGAATGCAGTTTGTAAAACTCTATAAAAAAAATAAATAATATAAGAATAAAATTTTCTCTTTTATAAAACGTGAGAAACAGCAATGTTTCAGCAAAATTAAGCCATTTTCTAAAAAGTTTCATTTCTACATTGCATTTTATTTTTTAAGAAACATATGGTCTTTGCTTGCAACAATAATGGAACAATATTCACCCCATACACCTTTAGGAGTTTAAACTAAAAGCAAAATAAATGGATGGATGGATGGATGGATGGATGGATGGATGGATGGATGGATGGATGGATGGATGGATGGATGGATGGATGGATAAACAGGTGCAGGAGTAAAATACTTCATAGTAAAATTTTTATAAATGTTTGGTCGCATGTAGATTGTGTTTTTTTAGTAAAAAATCTAAACCTGCACATCTTTGCCTAGAACATCCTTCATGAAAGCTAACATTTTATTCCAGCAACATGCAGTCAATCCGCTAATAATATATATAAAGATACCTTTGATATTCCATTATTCTTTACCACAGCTGAAAAAGGTGTTAGTTATGGAGCAACTCTTACTCCAAATACAGACAAGAGAAGATTTAATCCCAGAGTTTAAAGTGGAATGACAGGTCAGACAATTTGCCAATGGAATAAGATGATTTTCAGTTAAAACAAGGGAAAAATCCTCTTATTTTAAGGGTACAAACACTCCCTGAATTATATGCTCAAATTAAGGCCAAATTCACTTATTTCTCTAATTTTAATGCATGATTGCAGGATATTTAAACCAGCAGCTACATTTAAGGCAGAACTCAGTTTCTGCAGACTAACAGCCGGATGGTTAAGCATGCAGGAGGCTGCATGTGGATGAAGGAGAGGAGAGGTCAAGCTGCAGCCATCATCATCATCATCTGCATGCAAACATGCTGCAGGTGTGACAAAGTGACAACATGCAAACATCAAAGCAGCCTAAACTTGGCGCACCGTTTGCCAGAAGGCGGCTCATTTCCATGGCCATTTGCTCGTCCTCCAGCTCGCATGCTGGGCTTCTGTTGGAGCTGACAGCGGTGCCTCCATCACAGGAGGGAAGCCAGAGCTATTCCACAAGTTAAAACTGCCTAGTTTGGAGTAATTTAATCTGGGAAGGAAGGGGAAACAGAGGGGGTCGGACGTTTTAATCCCACTCTCCTGCCACAGCGTTCGCCTTGATGGAAAACAGGGGGATGATTGAACCGTGCAATATTATTTTTTCGACAAAAGAAAGAAAATAAAATAAGAAATGCAGAGCTGAGGCTAGCCTGGTTAGCTCCATCAGCAGTCTTTAACCTTCAGCCGATGGGAGCGCAAAGAGCGGCTGCAAGTTTCTGCAGATCAGATCATTGATCCTAACGTCTGGATCCGGGGAAGGAGGTCTGCGCTCCGGGGAAGGAGGTCTGTGCTCCGGGGAAGGAGGTCTGCGCTCCGGGGAAGGAGGTCTGCGCTCCGGGGAAGGAGGTCTGCGCTCCGGGGAAGGAGGTCTGCGCTCCGGGGAAGGAGGTCTGCGCTCCGGGGAAGGAGGTCTGCGCTCCGGGGAAGGAGGTCTGTGCTCCGGCAGAGGACAGCCGGCCAGGCAGAGGCGCAGCAGCTGCTTCCATCCACTCGCCTTTAAGTTGTGGAGAAGAATGTTGAAGGCAGAACGTCTGTCTGCAGCTTCTCTCATCGTTGCATGTGTCGTGACGTGAGAAAAACATGAAAATAAAATAATCCCCCCACCCTCCCCCTCCTTTCCATCTAAACACATACAGCCAAATATATCAGAATATAAATCGCAGCCCGACTTGGAGCCACTTTTACCTGAGCGATGCGTCGCAGGCTTTTCTCCCAGCCGCTGGTCTGCACAGACTGAGCTGAGCTGGGATCTGCTGAGGGAACAGCCCCTCTTTACTACAGCACAGCTCTGTGGAAACATCCCCTCTGCTCTGAACGCCAGGCAGCTGGATTCTGCCCAGCAATAAGGTCACTTTACTTCCAGGACAAACCTGGCTGTGTTTCCATCCATGCACTGATTCAAATGGGCTCCAAACTGCATGGTTCTCACATTGACTTCAACCTCCTGACATGACATTGGTTGAAGCTGATCTATTAAGGTCAGGATGGTGATGATAAAAAATGTTTGCTTGTCACCACAGGATGTTTATGTAATCAGGTTTGGCCAAAGCTTCTAGAAGAATATGACTTCAGAGCCTGCTTTAAGTTATAGGCAGGTTGGCAAATAAATAAATAAATAACTGAGCTTTATTGAGCTCACATTGGAGGAATTTACCTTTGCATTTAACCCATCCTCTCGAGGAGCAGTGGGCTGCCATTGTGTGGCACAAAGGGAGCAGTCAGGGTAGCAGAGTGGCAGTCTGTAGGAGTGGGCATCGGACTCAGAACCTCATAATTTCAAACAATATGCCCTAACCAGAAGGCTCCCACTCCCCAAGATGTGAGAAACTATTTTTTTTGTAAGAAGAATGCATAAATCTATGGAGTGAATTTTGTTTCATTATTTTTGCAGGCACAAAACACATTTTGTAAATCAAAATTTTGAACAAAAAATGCACAACGTTTTTAAAGGTGTAGTGGAGGATTTTCTTTTTCAGGGTGGATCTTCTAAATAAGTGGTCCTCCTAATTGTCATTCTGGTGATATGTTTACGTTATCACAGTTTTGGTTCTGTTTGAAGTGTTCATAAAATGCAAAACCGAGTTTACATTGCCATAGATGAATAACAATAGTTCGGTGGGTGAAATGGACGTACAGAGAAGTTCAAACCCCATCGACACCTCCTTTCTCAATAAAACGGGCAAATCCAAACAAAGCCCCATATTGATGCCCATATTTGCGCTTTAGTCGACCAAAATCCCAGACAATTTTGAAATTCCCCCCCGGATGTTTTTTTTTTTTTTAGGTATTTTTAGCTTTCAGTGAGTGAGTGCTTGTTGCTATGATGCGTCTTTGCTCATCAGCTTTGCTCGTTTTAAACCAACCAATCAGCGCACAGCTCGTCTAAATATTAATGAGCATACCATAAAAGGAAGAAAACCTGTCGTTTCATTTTAGGGCTTATAACCAGGCTTGCATTACGTCTCATAGAACAGCAAATATGCCATTTTCAGCCCAACTAATGTTACACACCCTATTCAGAGCATTAAGGAACCAAATACCATATATAATCATTCTATGACCCCTTAAAGTTTTCTTTTTGAGTTTTCAGTTTCACTTTGATCCATGTTTTTGTTTGTTTTCTAGTTTTATTGGTTTATTTACTTTTTTGTGGTGTTTTCTGGATGTATTTGAGTTCTTCGGTATTCCTTGTTTGCCCTCTGTTGCCCTCCTGTGTCAACCTCCTTTTCTCTAGCTCCCTTCTAGTCTCCTCTGTTCTCACCTGCTCCCAATCTGCTGATTAGCCTGGTCTTTGTTTCTCTCTCCCATATATGCACCCCCTGCTCAGTCACTGTGGCGCGCTTGTCGTCATTTCTTTGCTCCCTTCTTGTTGTGAGTATTCCTGGTTTTCAGTATTTTTGGATTTTGTGGATTTATGTTTTGGGATTTTTGCTTCTGTTACCCATTTTGTTCAATCAAATCTTGCAAGAAACCATCTCAGTCTCTGCATTTGGGTCCTGTCAAACCTCTACCCCACCTGACATACGTAAGGCCGTTGTAGGTACCAGATTGACTCGGGCTGCCAGATTGACTC